TTTTCACAAAATTACCAAACAAGCCCAATACATCTCAAATACCAAATTTAAAGACAAAAACCCCATAGAAGGAGTAGGTTAATCCTACCTCAAATTCGGAGTCCAAAGGATGAAGACGACAAAACCCAAACGTGCTCAAAACCGAGATTTTCAGATTAAAATGAAGCCCATCGTCGATCAACAACTTTTTTTTAATGTCCAAAGGTGAGTAAATCACTCTACTAGACATACCTAGAGAGAGGTAGAGCTAGAGTGAGAGGCTAACAATGGTGATTTTGGAAAAGTAAGAGAGAGAAGAAAGTGAAAAGTGATTTTGAAAAAGTCACAATTTCGGACTTTAAACCCAGGTCTCCGCTCGAGCGTAAAACACCCCGCTCGAGCGATCCACTCACAGACTTCCGCTCGAGCGGCCCAACTCCGCTCGGCCGCAGAATGCACTCGCCATGCACTTTTTGCAGAACCAGACCTCTCGCTCGAGCTTCCTCCAACCACTACGCTCGAGCGGCACTCAGAACAAACCTTCTCGCTCTAGCGGCCAATACCACGCTCGAGCGTACAACGCTGCACAGGAAAATACTGAATGGGTGTATTACCCGCTCGAGCGCCAACACCTCCGCTCGAGCGTACAGGCCAAAAATCTGGGCAACTAGTTTTGGTTTCTAAACTCAACCAACCTGAAACAAATCCGCCCAACACATCCTATAACTCAAATACGAAGTAAAAGGATGTAAACAAAATAATAAACAACTACCAACATCCACGGACACATGTCCGGATCACGGTATAACAAGGGTAAACCCGGGATCGCTATAGTGAGAGGAAGCAATTCTCTCCGCGAATTACATTCTTAATAGAATACCTCGGAAGAATGTAGACAAAACTTCATATGAGTTGTGGAAAGGCCACAAGCCTTCATATAAATACCTACGAATGTGGGGGTGTTTTGCAGAAGTGGCGGTACCTACACCTAAGCATGTTCGGATAGGCCCGAAGTCAATGGATTGTATATTCATTGGCTATGCACATAATACCAATGAATATTGATTTCTTGTGTTTAAGTCTGTTATTGTAGATGTACACAAGAATACTATCATGGAATCAAGAAATGCATATTTCTTTGAAAATGTATTTCTTTGTCGTCTCTAAGAAGGGATTTCGAGTTCCATGAAAGAGGTTGAAGGTGACAATGATCATGCAGATGATCACATAGATGATCAAGTCGATGATTAAGTTGAGGAAGTAGATGAGCCAAGGAGTAAAAGAGCTAGGACCGCAAAGTCCTTTGGTCGGACTTCTTGACTTATATGTTAGAGGGAGAACCTCGAACTTTCCGTGAAGCTGTGACTTCACTTGAAAGGCTTTTGTGGAAAGAAGCAATTAAGAGTGAGATTGATTCCATCCTACAGAACTATACCTGGGAGTTGGTTGATCTGCCCCCAAGCAGTAAGGCCTTGGGGAGTAAGTGGATCTTTAGAAGAAAGATGAAAGGGGATGGGTCAATTGATAAGTATAAAGTTAGGCTAGTTATCAAAGGATACAGGCAGCGAGAAGGCCCAGATTACTTTGATACGTAGTCACCTGTGACAAGGATTATATCCATTCGCATGGTGATTGCGATAGCAGCTTTACGTGGTCTGGAGATATATCAGATAGATGTAAAGACAGCTTTCTTAAATGGAGATTTAGATGAAGAAACCTACATGGAGCAACCTGAGGGGTTTTCAACTCCAGGACAAAATAAGAAAGTCTGTAAGCTTGTCACATCATTGTATGGTTTGAGGCAAGCTCCTAAACAATGGCATGCGAAGTTTGACAATGCTATGTTGTCAAATGGGTTCAAGATCAATGAGTGTGATAAATGCGTATATATCAAAGACACTGAAAGAGGTTATGTCATTTTGTGTCTATAGGTTGATGATATACTCATTGTTAGTAGTAACGATGAGATGATTAGAACTACTAAGAGATTGTTAAACTCTAAGTTTGACATGAAAGACATGGGCCTTGTAGATGTAATTTTGGGTGTTAAGATTACCAGAACATCTGATGGTATTGTACTTACTCTTGAGAAATTTGGTAAATCAGATACAAGTGTGTCTAGGACACCGGTAAACTTGAGTCTATACTTGACCAAGAATAATGGTGAGAGTGTCTCTCAGCTAGAATATTATTGGGTCATTGGGAGTTTGATGTATTTGATGAGTTTTACAAGGTCGGATATAGCCCACTTAGTTAGCAGACTTAGTAGATACACGAGCAATCCCAATGCCACTCACTAGAAAGGTAACGTTTAGGTGTTAAGGTATCTTCGTTTCACCCGGGATTATAGGCTGCATTGCACCAGATATCCAGCAATAATAGAAGGCTAAAGCGATGCGAATTGGATATCTGATGTTAGGGATTCAAAATCCACTAGTGGTTATGTGTTCACTCTTAGAGGGGCAGCCGTGTCTTAGATTCCAAGCAGATGTGTATCTCACGATCAACGATGGAATCAGAGTTTATAGAGTTGGATAAGGCAACAGAACAGGCAGAATGGCTTCGCCATTTCGTTGAAGATATCCCACGTTGGTTGAAACCCTGTGCCAACCATCTGTATTCATTGTGATAGCCAATCGACTATTGGACAAGCACAGAGTAATATGTATAATGGGAAGTTTAGACATATTCGTCGTAGACATAACTCCAAATAACAACTACTCTTTAATGGAGTTGTCAATTTAGACTATGTGAAGTCTAAGGGCAACATTGTGAATCCCTAACATTAGATATCCAACAATAATAGAAGGCTAAAGCAATGCGAATTGGATATCTGATGTTAGGGATTCAAAATCCACTAGTGGTTATGTGTTCACCCTTAGAGGGGCAGCCGTGTCTTGGAAATCTTCCAAGCAGGCGTGTATCTCACGATCAACGATGGAATCAAAGTTTATAGAGTTGGATAAGGCAACAAAAAAGGCAGAATGGCTTCGCCATTTCGTTCTAGATATCCCATGTTGGTCGAAACCCTGTGCCAGTCATCTGTATTCATTGTGATAGCTAATCGACTATTGGACGGGCATAGAGTAATATGTATAATGAAAAGTTTAGGCATATTCGTCGTCGACATAACTCCAAATAACAACTACTCTTTAATGGAGTTGTCAATTTAGACTAAGGACAACATTGCGAATCCGCTAACCAAAGAGTTAAATCAATTGTTAGTAGAGAAATCGTCAAAAAGACTAGGTTTAAGGCCTGTAGTTTAAGATGTTACTAGAATGGAAACCCAACCTATTTGATTGGAGATCCCAAAATCTAGGTTCAATGGGACAACCTAATTACGTGTAACGGTGGTATATCACTAAGGAGGTTAAACCTCCAGCCATCCCTTTTATCAGTGATACCTGCAAATGTAGAGGTTAATCTGAGCTTTTAATGAATCTAGTGTGTTGAGCTGTTGAGCTGAGTATAGTAGGATACTCAAGTAGAGTCACCTATGTGAGTGTGAAGTGGGGCCGCTTCTATAAGAATTGACAAGGCCGAATTCTTTAAACCACTCACTGAACCAGGCTAATGTTCCAAGGCCAAATTGGACACAACAGTGAGAACAGAACAATGGTTGGAGTAATACCTATGTAAAGTCTATTGCCTTGGTTTACATAAATGGGAGAACAATTCAAGACTTCGTGTTCACTGGGTAGCCAGTAAATCCGATAGACTTCACTAGGAGGTGTTCAAAGCTAAAAGCTAGATTTTCCGATGCAAGGGTTATTCCATTGCACTCTCTCCAAGTCTTTGTTGTTAAGCGTTGTTTGTTTGTTGTTATTCAGTCATTTTTATTCATGTGGGGGATTGTTAGAAAATAATAGTTTTTGGTGACTTTAATGCAATATTGAAGTGGGTGCCAATCCTCAATTGAGGTATATTAAAGCAGGTTTAGATTCTTTGTAATGAAATCTTTATACCACAAAAAGAATGACCAAAAACCATTAAGATTTGAATGAGAAATTGACTCATTAAGTTCGCTTCATGAAAGAGGTGTTGGGAAAGGTGTGAAACGTTCTATCTCACATTGATTGTAGAGGAGAGTATTGATGGGTATTTAAATCCTATTTTTGGCCTAAGGGTGTAAGCCCTTTGGGGCATGCAAATTTTCTGAAGGAAGAGAGTTATGGATGCTTCAAGGATGGACTTAGACCAAGACTATGGTCCAAGTTAGTTATGCAAAAATTGCCCACGCGCCAGTGTTGCCTGCACCGCCAGGACTAGGCCGGGTCTGGGTCTGGGTCTGGGTCTGGGTTCGGGTCTGTGGTCCATGATCTGTGATCCATGAATCTTGAATCTTGGGCTTGGGCTTGGTCTTAGGCTTGAGGCTTGCTGGATTGAGTGTGGGGGTTGGGCTTAGCCTACCCGTCTTAATCTTTTTTGGCCAAGCTAAATCTGTGGGCTACAAGAATATATACACAAAACACGTGTATAATAGAGTTGGTAACTCCTCTATTCATGGACTATAATCCATTAGTTTGCAGAAATTAAATCCTGCATTTTTTGCAGGGGAGCCTCTTCCTCTCTCCCTTCATGTGTATAAAACGAGACCATTTTCCTTCATTCTTCAACTCTAGAAATTCTTGCTCTCTATTTTTCTCTAGTTTTAAATTCTTCCTAGTGAGAAAGTGTTGCCTGAGTTTTGTTCCCCGAAGCTACATAGTAGGTGCATTGTTGTAGCTAGTCTAACCGTCGTATCCTAAGAGATAAACGTCGAAGAACCTCCAGCACTCAATCGGTGAGGGGGCAAATCTGTTTTAAGGAGACTGTCTAGTGCAGGTTTCGGTTTGCTTCCTTTTGCAATTTTATTTTATTCTTTAATTTTGTTCCTTCTACTTGTAATTTTTCCAGCATGTTTCTTCTTGTGAAATTTGAATTGTTAATCATGAATCTATTTGTTTTAGTGAATCACACAATTTTTATAACAATACTTACTTCTTGGTAACTGTGTAGGATTATGTCCCTCTTTGCAGGCCATTGTTGAAGACTCTGAGGTTTAATGTGTTGAAAGTGATTCCAGCTGGTTCTTCTAGTGGTGTGAAGAAGGCATTTACAACAATGTGAGTTTAGTGGATCAATTTTTTGTAGTAATAAGTGTGTTTGGTTTTAGTTTTCTGAATTTAGTTTTTTGAAAACTGAGTTTTTTTTTCGTGTTTTTTTGTTTTTAGTGAATATTTTTTAAAATTTTAAGCATTTTTTTTTAGATGCACCTTACTTAGATAGTAAAATATTTGTGAAAAAATATTTTAAAAATTAATAAATATACAAAAATATGAAAATGTACTGAATTTTTGTATTTTTTAAAGATTTTTTTACAAATATTATACTTTTTAAGTGTATTTATGTTAGGTGTGCCTAAAAATTAAAAAAAAAATTGCTTAAAATATTAAAAAAATTCATTGAAAACATTAAAATACGAAAAATAAAAATGTAGAATTTTCTGAAAATTATTTTTTGAAAACTAGATCCACACAAGCTGAATATGATGTAAGGCCGACTATGGACTATGGCATTAGATTGTGCAACTTCACTTAGAGTGTTTCTTTTGATGTGTACTCTCTTAAGGTTTGAGTTTTTGTATGTGGCCAATTTACAATTTTCTCAATTTCTATCAGTCATATAAGTTGAGTGTGCAATGTGGTGAAGTCGTCATTGTCTGCTAGATAGTAGTTTGTCCCTTCGGAAACATTGCCTCACATAGTATACATTTCTCTCGGATTATTGACATTGCTTCTTGTATTGTACATTTCTATGGGATTATTGTTGTTATTAGTGAAGCATTTGGATTTTATGTGGAGCAGGGTATTTCTTGTTTGTGTTGTCTGTGATTAGATTTATTGGCTAGAATATATATGATAGGCCAGCTAAATTGTAGCTCAACTTCACAAATTGGGTTTTTTTTTTCTTTCCCTTTTTTTGGGAATAACTAACCATATATATGCTCTTTTTTTGGACCTTGAGCTGGCCTTGACCTATGTTACAAATGAAGTAGCACCCTGGTTGGCATTAAACCACCCTGGGTGGCATGGATTCCGCACCTACTTTTGGAAACATATCTACCCAGTCGTTCTCCCGGATGTCTCCTGGACGTCCAGCCGGTTGACCAAAATAGTATTTTTATCTTATTCTATTTATTTTTTTGGCACCTGTTATTTTTATATTTTAAATAAAAAATATTTTCAGAATTTTTTTAAAATTTTTTATGAGTTTTGAATAGAATTTTGGGTTGTGTGTTTAATTATGAGTTGTAAATTTTGGAATCAAATATCATATGTCATATCCAAAATTCCAAACTCAATTCATAATTGAACAAATTTTTTACACTCAAATCATAATTTCAAAACTCACAAACTTAAAATATAATTTTATTCTCAAATCATAATTTTAAAATTTTACCAAACACTACCATAATTTTGTGGTGGAGACCACAACTTGGTTGGGTTAGTGGGAGGTAAGCTTTGTGGATTTAATAGTTTTTTTAATTTTTTATTGGTATGTTATATTACGTGAGATGATATTACTGTTACATTCTATTTTTTCTTGCAAGAGATGGAAAAGCAAAAGTCTTGAGCTAATAATTTAAATTGCAAAATCTAGGGTAAATTAAAATATACTCTCAAAATTTTCTTAAAATATTAATTATTTTATGTAGTTTTGGAAATTACATCTTATCATTTTAAATTTATAATCGCATAATAAATTAATCCTTTCATTAATTAGTTATTAAGTTTATTAATAGTTTTTAATGATGTGTTAGAAATATATTTTAATTAACAGTTCTGGTAATTTTATTATTGTATAGGAGTATAGTTAAGATGATTTTTTTTTTTTCTATTAACAGATAAATTCTGACAAAAAGTATTTGTAATTTTTAAAATCATAGGGGATAAATTGTATTTTAAATAAATTTTGGAGGGTGCATTTATAATTGATCTAAAATCTATGGGAAATGGAAAACCATTTTTTGGAATAGCATATATTGCTTGTCCTTTGTGCTTTCTCCCAGGCACATAAGTGACTTGGTCTGAAATGAATTTTTTTTGGGTTGAAATTCAAGCAGGGGCAATGTTTTCTAAAAGTTACTCTTAAATAATTTAGAAAAATTCATGAGAGTTTCTTAGAAAAACTGATGAAAATGAACCAACTTATTGAAATTGATTGAAATTTTAGTTTTCGGTCATTTTTTCATAATATATGGCCTGTTTTAGTTTTGAAAATTTGTATACTGATGCAAACTAAATTGATCGAAAATTATATTTAAATAGTTTTATATTTTAATTTTTTGAGCATTATATGATAAGTGACTAATATAATATATGTTTGTGATGAAAACTAGTGAGAAACATTTATAAAACAACTTTCATACATTTTCTTCATTTATTTTTAATGTAAAATTCTATAAACTTTTATAAAATCCTTTAAAACATCAAGCAAATCCCTTTTCTACATCAACCCTACAAAATTGATAAAATTGAACAGTAATATATGGTCTGTATTAGTTTTTCAATCATCAAAACTAAAAAGATCGATTTGTTATTAAACTTATTCTCCACATTGTTACTGAACCGAACCGATTACACCCCTAGCAATTTCTAAAGGAGTTCAAAGAAAGTTTCCAAGTAATTATAGCCCAAAGCGATTCACAATTTTAAGCATTTTTCTTGTGATATTTATTATTTTGGGCTCTGTTTGGCAAGTATTTAAAATGTTTAAAAAGTTATTAAAAAAATTAAAAAATCAAAAAGTTATTTAAAAAAGTCAAAGATTTCTTCAATTTCTCTCTAAGTTTTGATTGTTTTCTGTAAAATTAATGTCAAAAAATCATTTTTACACTTTAGTTAGTTTTTATTAACTTCACGTACGAGATAAGTTTTTTTTTTTATTGCTTTTTGATGGGTTGTACAAAATAAACTAGCTTATAAGATATAGTCAAATTAGACAAGTACAAGTCACATCATTAAAAGTGACTTGCTAAACATATCACTTTTTATAATTATGAGCCAAAATCATATTTGCTTATAACTAGAATCAAATTGATCATAATTTAGTTATGAGCTACCATCACACATCTCATAACCAACAACCTTTGGCTCATAACCATATCACTTTGATCATAACCAATATCACATATCTCATAACCACTATCCACATAACTCATAACCATATCTCATAACCAACACCCTTTAACTCATAACCAACATCACATATCTCATAACCAACCCCCTTTTGCTTATAACCACACCACTTTGATCATAATCAATATTACATATCTCTTAACCAAATACCTTTTGACTCATAATCACACCACTTTGCTCATAGCCAAAATTACATATCTTATAATCACTAATCATCATATATCTCATAACTCATAACTAACACCCTTTGGCTCATAACCTATGTCGCACATATCATGACCACTAATCACATATTTCATAACCAACACCTTTCGGCTTATAACTACACCACTTTGATTATAGCCAACATCACATATCTCATAACTAAACATCCTTTGACTCATAACTATATTATTTTGCTTATAACCAAAATCACATATCTTATGATCACTAATCATATATCTTATAACCATTACCACATATCTCATAACCAACACCCTTTGGCTCATAACCAACATCACATATTTCATAATCATTAATCACATATCTCATAACCAACACCTTTTGGCTCATAACCACACCGCTTTGATCATAACTAACATCACATATCTCATAATCACTACCCATATATCTTATAATCACATCTCATAACTAACACTCTTTAGAACTTTGTTCATAACCACTAATCACATATCTCACAACCATATCTCATAACCAATACGCTTTGACTCATAATCATACCACTTTGATCATAACCAACATCACATATCTCACAATCACTAATCACATATCTCATAACCAACTCCATTTTGGTTCATAACCACCTAACTTTGATCATAATTAACTTAGAACCACTAGCCACATATCTCATAACCAATTTTTATCACATATCTCTATTTTATATTTATTTTAGTCATAATATCTCTACTGAATATAATAGAAAGGGTACTATACAAACAATATACATTTTAAAATATCTATATACACACACAGACATATATATAAATAATTTGACTAAATTTTAATAAAAAAAATGTTGAAAGATGTGATTTTATTTTTTTCTACTAAATCATTGTCCTCTTAAATTTTTTACCCAACTTTTCCTCTTTAGTTTTCCTGTTCTATTTTCTTTCCCTCAATTTGTCCTACTTATGCCTCAAATCTCTTTATTTCTCACTTAGACTCTATTTCGCTCAAATTATTAAATGGTCAACATTGATAGTTCTTCCTTGTTGGATTTTTATTCTTTCAATCTCGATCGTCTCTCTGCTCCTGTATATTTGTACCAGATCCTCGAACTTGTCGCTACTCTCTCTGTCTACTTCAACCATATTGATGGTGATATTTCTCTATCTACTAAATGCATCTATCTCAAAACTCTAGTTCCTTCACATTAATATGTCATACATACACAAACCTTTGCCTCTAGTTTTGATTCAAAATACTTTGTTTGTTCAATTTGTACACACATATGTGTTCTAGAATGGTTGGAAAATGACATTGGGTATATATAAGTAGTGGTGTGTGGCCGCTCGATGGGTATGCAATTAAAATAAAATTTTTGATTTGAATATAATTTTAATTACTTATAGGACACATGTTAGTTACAAGTGACAATTATGGGAGGGTATTTTGGGTAAATAAGAAAAATGTGACATTACACCAGGAGTGGGCTGAAATTTTGCTTTAGTAAGGATTGGGATAAAGAGTTATAGCCAAGTTGGTCCATTTATAAAACAATAATTATAATTTTATAACATTTTAATTATAAAACAAAGTAAAAAAAAAATATAAGACAAAAAATATATATATATATATACATCTTTGTAGGAGTTAAATTAAAACATTTGTTAAAAATCATTTTCATTTTATTATTTAATTTTATTAACATTCTAAATTCAATGATATATAAAAAGATTTAAATAAATTAATATACATTCAAGAAA